CGTAGAATCTCTCATGCGGGGTGGAAGTTATGAGGGATTTCGGCATTCCAGGAAATCTGAGTTCATAAGCTTCCACCTTCTCCTGCGAGGGCTTTCTTCTCCTTCTCCCTTGTTATCCAATCTTTTCTCGCTCTATTGTATCGCAATTCTCGGATAATTCTGCATTATTGAGGCTGGGCTTGTGTTGGTGTTGCACGCGTCAGACATCGCATCGGCCTAAATTGATAAGAAGCGCGCGGGAGCTGATCCTCCGTCTGGCACTCTCTCCCCCTTATATTCTCCCATCCCAGATCACACGCGCCAGTTTTATTTCGAGAAAGGCGGTTCCTCGTGGAATTGTCCTTCTCATTTACGCAGTCCTTTAAACATGGCTCCCCGAACGTCCCGATTCCTCGCGTCCGCGTCCGCGACTGCCGACAAGGTGAACGAGCCCGAAGACAACACGAGCCTCGACGTTCCAGAACAACTCCTGACGCCGGAGAACAGCCGCTCTGAGACATCGAGCAACAATGAAAACGCGTTGACTGACGAAAATACCGCGGGACGGCGGAGGTCAACACGAGTCGCACGCGCATCGCTGGCCGGTCAGCCACTAGACGACACACCTGAGAAGGACGGATCCGTCGCTTCCTCCAGCGAGGCTTACGTAGCTAGCCTTGCCAACGCAAAAAGATCCCATTCCTCTCTGCGCCACAGTATTGCCGTGATGGAAAATTCCCTGTGGAGTGGTACTGCAGACAAGGATGCCGCGGTAGATGACCACCCAATGGCCCCCGATACCCCGGTCTCAAAGTCTTCTCAAGAGTTGCAAGCTGAGGATATGAATGTGTCGCTTCAACAGCGAGCACTACGAAAGCGTGTGGAGAAGGCATTGGAGGAAGATGAGGGAACACCCAAAGCTAAGCCAGCTCCATCTCGTACCGTTTCCCGCAAGTCTCTACGGCGGTCAGGTCGCATAGGTTTATTGGATAAGGCTTCGGATCTCGTTGATCGGGCGAACAGTATTTTGGGAAAGCGTACGAGAGGTATGGCAGATAAAGATCTTGGTCGTCGTGCTAGCCTCCGGCCTCGTAATTTGGACCCGCCAAAGGAGGAGAATGGGCATGCAACAAAGAAGCGCCGAGTCTCCGAGAGCGATTTGTCCAAGCTCAAATCTCAAGATACGCCTGCCCCCGAAGAACGGTCTGCACCATCCTCGCCTCGGCCTAAGCGCAAGCTGTGGCTGTCTCACGGTCTATACACTGGACAGGAACCCTCGGACTCCCCTCCCAAACAGCGCCGGAGCAAAAATTCCAAGAAGACTGGCACTGGACCCAGGCACCGTACTATTCTTCCTATGCCCATGTTCAAGGGTGCTCGGCTGTTGAAGAATGGAAGAGATTACCAGCTGCCATTCGACATTTTCTCGCCTCTCCCGCCTGGCCAGCCCAAGCCAGATGAGTGGCGTAAGACCAACAAGAGTGAGCATTTTGTCGGAATCTCACATTATGAAGTGAGGGCTAACATACAGTTCAGATGTTTTTGTTGGTGACGCCGGAAGTTTTTGGAAAGCGAACAAGAATCTCGAGCTGTCTACTTGCATGTGTGAGGAGGATACTGGCTGTGACGAGAACTGCCAGAATCGTTACATGTTCTACGAGTGTGACAACGGTAACTGCAGGCTGGGTCCAGAGTGTGGGAACCGAAACTTCGAGGGACTCAAGCACCGGACCAAGGCTGGAGGCAAGTATAACATCGGAGTGGAGGTCATCAAGACCCAAGACCGTGGCTACGGCGTGCGCAGCAACCGTTCCTTCGAGCCTAATCAGATTATTGTGGAGTATACCGGAGAGATCCTCACACAGTTTGAGTGCGAGAAACGGATGAGAACAGTGTACAAGAACAATGACGTATGTGCCCTTGCTTCCCTCGCTGCTTAATTGTTACTAACTTGATCATTTAGTGTTATTATCTCATGTACTTTGATCAAAATATGATCATTGATGCGACTCGTGGGTCCATTGCTCGCTTCGTTAATCACGCTTGCGAGCCCAACTGTCGTATGGAGAAATGGACTGTTGCTGGAAAACCTCGCATGGCCCTCTTCGCGGGAGATCGTGGAATTTCTACTGGGGAGGAATTGAGTTACGACTACAATTTCGAGTGAGCATCTTTTTGTGCTCAAACAGATAGACTCTGTGCTAATTCTATAACAGCCCGTATTCCAACAAGAACGTGCAACAATGCCGATGTGGATCAGCGAACTGTCGAGGCTTCCTGGGCCCACGGCTGAAGGATAAGCAACAGCGCGCTAAAGAGCTTGAGCAGAAGCGAAAGGCTGATAGCTTGAAGAAGACTAAGAAAGCCATCGGCAAAAAGCGAAAGGCCGCAGCAGAGTCTTCATCCGAGTCCGAGTCTGATTCCGAAACTGACTCTGACTCTGAGTCTGAATCTGAGTCCGAGTCCGAGGAGGACGAGCCTCCAAAGAGCAAACGCCGCAAGCTGATCTCAACGAAATCCATCCGCGCCGGCGTCAAGAAGGCCGTGGCAACTGTCCGCGGAAAGAAGACCACGAAGACAACAGCAAAAGCCAAGGCCACCACCAAGGCGAAGAATGTCAAGTTGCCTAAGGTCAAGGCTACAGGGCGAGTGAAGGCGGCTGTCCGCCCTACCCACGGCACTAAAGCTACCAAAGCTACCAAGGCTACCAAGGGGGCCCCAGCTTCACCTGGTAAAAAGTCTACAGCGCTCAAGCGGCCATCTGCCGAGACCAAGAAAAAGATCCTCGCTACTGCTTCCAAGGGCGCCGTGGGCCGTCCTCGCAAAAATGCTGCGCAAAAGGCTCCTCCCAAAAGTCCCGTCAGGGCTAAGATGCCCACCACCAAAGCTAAAAGCCCTGCTAAGAAGGGCTTCGGCAAAGATGTCAAGAGCGTCGCTCGGCGTGTTGTGCGATCTGTCAGGGGTACAAAGAGAGCTTAAACACCTTGGTCAATCTTTTACTACTCGTTGACAGTGCCCTGCTTGGATTACATGATTCGGCTGTCAAAACGGCCTGTGTCTTTCACGAACTGCAGACCTACAGCCAGCAGCTGGGAAGTGGACTTGTTGAGTTTCTTCGGCTTTTACTATCTCATTTTCTGTCGACCTTGACACTACGCAACAGGTGATTCGAGTCACCCTATCTCTGATATGGCTCTCCACCAGCAACTTTTTTCTTTCTTTCTAACCTATAATTTCCATCTTCAATTCTTTATTGACGTGCTTGTCCTCCTTGCTCGACTATTGACATTCGTGTTCATTAGCTAATTTCCCTTGTACGACATCCCTATTTGTTCTTGTTTACTCCCTGACTGAGAAGGCGTTCGTGGTTTCTTTGTTCTACTTTATTCTGCCTTCCCTATCTTCTGTTCTTCCTTTCTATTATTTTTCCCTTCTGGCTTTTTTTTCCCGCTCGACTTCCTATTCTAGTTATGTGTCATGGTCATGAAAGTGAGGGATTGCCCTGGGCCGCTGTTGAGTGTTCAGTTCAGATTGGTGCGTGACCTTGATATCGGATTTGATATAGTTAAGGTAGATGTTTCCAAATTCAACATGGTTTACACTTAGCTCAGACAAATGTCCCCATTGAGAGTCAGGTTTACTCAGAATGAGTACGCTTGTCTACGTACGTTTTTAGTCCTCAATGGGTCATGTCGATCATGTACATGGAGCTTCTCTATTACGGTTTCTGTTGATCTGTATAAGTGAGTTGGTAAATTAATAGAGCTACTTGAAATGACGTTTGAAGTTGGGAAAATGCGATGAAGATAGGCAAGGTCAAGTGAGAGTAGTAATAATTACCTAGGTTTATAATTGTTGAATCTAGTGATCAACTTAGTGATTGAACGTGATGGAAAAGTGGCGAGAGATAAGGAAGACAGGAGTGGACAGACAGACAGCACGGTTTGACTCTAGGACTAGTTGGAATAGCAATCAAGCCTTTCTGTCACGACAAGGGTCCTGCCTGATACATCGGACAGATGATTTATGTTTCAGGCCTCATAAAATCCTCCGGTTTGCTCACCGTTTGATACTAATGCAGTCCACCTTAGGGCTTCTGGCTTAGCAGCTCTGGTTCTCTCTCTCATATCCTACTATATTAACGAACCGTCCTCTTCTACATCGTCTCATGGCCCATTACTTTCTTAAGATCATTATATGTTGGTATTCACGTGAGCTCCTATATATGAAAGAAGACGCAAACACGTGAAATTTAACAGCAAATGGAAGTCGGACTGGCTAGCTAAGTCTCTCGGGTATATGCGCACTTAGACATCAAACGGAGCTCTAGGCCCTAGAAAATTCCAAACCGAACCTATTCATGAATCGAAACAACATCCCAATAAGAAGGGCTTCCCCCATTCCGTGGAGCCAATGAACATATCGCACTTTCATAACAAGGAAGTTCCAAGCAAGTCCTCTGGAAAGCATTTGTCCTCGTTGTATGCCGGTCTAGGAGCCTCACTTTGGCCTGTCACAGCCTGTTTATCTGGAATATCCATTACATCACACTCTGGATACGGTTTGTCATGGATATAGTCTGTGTAAGATGGAGCAGGCTGGAGGCAATTCAGACATTCTTTGTGTAGAGCAAGGAGCAAGAGGAGGATGTGCTCGGGGAACAACGCAAAGAGATTGGGAAGAAGGCAGCAATCTAAGAAGGGAAGAGAGCCGTTAACTGTGTTCTGTTCTGTATTTATTTTGATTCCAGTGAGCACACATACCTCAGAAAAGGCCCCATTGGGGTTTAGAAGTTTGATACACACTTTGAGAGTGTGGGATATGTTAATAATAGTCGTGTTGCAACTTGGCACACAGGGCTCGATGGAATTTGAAGGCACGATGATATGAGATAGTGCATCCCATCCCTCACCATCTGCATCTTCGGTGGCGGCCGCGTTCCTTAAAGAACCGTCGAACTCTAGAAAATCGTCGATTATAGTCTTCTCTCGAGTTTGGCGTATATGTCTTGGTCCCCAGCCCTAGAAATGACGACGTGGGATTCCACAAGTTGCACCTTGATTGAGGCAGGCTCGAACACCTTTTAGGAGTGGGATATATCGGAAGTCGATCTTTATAGGGGCCCCAAGCTGATATGCTTGTCCCGGAATACTGATTCGATATGCGATCTTTTCGGGCCATGTCCTTTCAATGCTCTGTGTAGTTGTCATATCAGTCGTACCATTCGGTCAAAAGCTGAGTCTCGTCCTTTTGCTTACCTCAGGTTCAAGGAATGATAGAGGATCCAGAGCCTTGGATACCCTCATATCCTTCGATCTTGTGATCGATCCCCATGAACAGATAATCCCGGCTGTCAACTCGTATCGAATGTAGCAGTCGTCTAGTCCTTCGACACTCTCTGGCAGACTGTTGTGTAGGGTAATTAAAAAGGGGAACTCGTAGTTGCCAGGTTGTAAAGATTTCTGACTTTTGTTCGACTCTGGAAGAAAGCTCCATATCTGGTGGTAGAATGTTGCTTCCCGCCAGGCTGCTTTCTTATGTCGGCCTTCTGGTGTTGTCGAGTCCCAGCTGATTGAAGCGTTAGCTTGAGTTTTCTCACCAGCAGTATAAATAGGGATCGTGAAAACATACTTGACATATTGGATTCCTCTCGTGTGGAGCTTGAGTTCTTTGACGGGGAGTGGCTTGTTCAAACATAGAACAACAGTGCCGTTGAGGTGGCCGTAGCTAGTATTCTCATCAATACGAGGAAGCATGAGGCTATTATTATCGAGTCTAAATAAATAATCCACCAGTCAGTGAGTAGAAACATAATGGAGTATGGTATAATCTAACCTGATGTCAAAGTAAGTTGGTACATTCGCGGCCTGACAACCACCAAACAGCCAAGATGCCATAGGGCTGTGTATACTGTTGAATTAGAATTAAGAATGGATACACTAGTCCATATAATAGTGTGGCTAGAGAAGTGGAAAAGAGTAGCAGAGGTGCGTCCCTATTTATATTAAAGTTAGCTACTGGGGCTGTTTGGCCTGACTCGGCAAGCCGATCGGGATTCCGAAACCATCGGGTAATTTGCAGCTTGAGGTTTGGGCTAAACATCCTATCATATATTATTAAATCGTAGGTCCTGCTATAAAATAGTGTCATGATGTCTTGAAAGGGCCGCTGGGTGACCTGATCGGTCGGATGATTTCCTAATGCGGAAAGCTTGCCGCCAAATAAGCCCTAACGCAAAATTCTGTTTAAGAAGACTCGGTGAACTCGGTGAGAGGGTCAAAGTAAAAAAAAACCCACGAACTCATAGAGCTGCAGATAAGAATAAAAGGAATAGGAAAGAAAAATACAAAAATGGCGTTGTTATCCGTCTTGCGTCTACCCATTCAGTTACGCTAAGCTACGCAATGACCGTCTCGACTATCAGGGGTGAGATACGTCCAGCTCAGCTGCTACTGAATATCTGCAAATCAAACAAAAATGATTCAAATGGTGACATTCTCTAAGCCCAACATATTATCCCAGACTCTTTCGGGCTTTGTGTGGATATATATCCATACGACTTTGGTAGAACAGTGTATCGATTTCTTCTGGTTCGTGCAAACATTTAAACAAGGACAGCAGGATATCTACCATTGAAAAATGCCGAAGGACAGATTGTTATATCGAGGTAATCAGTTGGAGGCAATAGCTAGAAGAGCTAGATAAACGCGGTCCCTACAGGACTAATTGAAACAGTCAACAAGTTGATGAAATTCAAAAAAATGACTCGTTCCAATAATTGACAAACAATATGATCCTACAAGAAGTTAATAGCGAAATGATCAATGATCAACGATCAACGAACGAACCCAGAACCCAGACTCCAGCCTACAAACGCAACAAACAAAGAGCGCCGGAAGAGTAATAACTAAGACAGAGAGTATTCATCATACAACGTGGAAACTGGATGAAATGGACAGTAGTAACAATCAACCCAAGGAAACAGCCTATGTAGACTCGGCCGGGGCACCCTCAGGGACTGAATCTGAGGGCTGCTCAACTTCGCCCTTCACTTCATCGGGTTGATCATCTGTCTGATCGAGTTCTGCAGCAGCTGTCGCACCCGAAACATTTGGCTCAGTTGCTGGCTGATCCGCTTGTTCTGTCTTATCTTCAGTCTTATCTTCTGTCTTATCCTCGGCAGCAGGTGTTGGTTCCTCTGCCGGAGCGAGATCTATCACGGTAGAATCAACTTCGAATGAAGGAGGCTGAGGATCATCGGCTGGTGGTTCTGATAGAGGCGATTCGGGCTTCGAGGGAGACTGGATTTCTTCAAGTAGTGGGTTCTGCTCATGCGCTGCTGGAGCTTCGCTCATTTCCACGTCTTTTGTTTCAGCTGGGTCCGCGTCGGGTTGGAGGTTTTCGGATTGGTTGTTTTGGTCATTTTCAAGGGCCGCTGAAAGGGGTTCGGTGTCGAGTTGGGAGGTGGCCTCATTTGAGGCGGGTTGAGATTCTTCAGCCTCGACTGGAGCCTCGGTCGAGAGTGAAGGTTGCACGGGTTCTGAGGGTTTATCGGGACTATCAGATGGTGCGGCGTTTTCAATATCTGGTTGACTTCTGACATCGGGCTCCTCTTGCTTTGGTGCAATATCAGCCGTCACTTCTGTGGCCTCAGATTTGGTGGGCCTTGAGGCTTCAGTCTCGGGAACGGCAACTGATGGCTCAGCAGCTGCATTTGAGGCTGCTGCAGGTTCAGTAGAAGGGAGATTGGCATCATCATGTTCCGGTGCGGCAGGCTTCTCATCCGAATCAGTGATCTCAGTCTTTGGAGGCACGCTGGAATCCATAGCACTATTGTCTGTCTCAGGTGCCTTTTCAGGCTGAGAAGCTTCGGTGGTCTGCAGTTGCGAAGGTGTCTCAGCGCCAACTGATAAAGATGGCTCTTGGGCAGCTTGTTGGTTGTCGGGACCAGTGTCTGCCATATCGACATCAACTGACTGCTCAGCGGGGGTTTCAATTGAAGGTTGATCAGCAGACTCCGTACCAGACGTAGGCTGAGGGGTCTCAGGAGTCTTCACATCCACCATGGACTCATCTCCCTCATCACCTTCGTCACTCTCATCGCCATCCTCATCGTCATCATCTTGACCATTCGGATCCATCGACATTCGTGAATCATCCTGGCTTCCTCCTTGACCATCACCAGCACCGTCACCCATACCATGTACTGTGGCGGCATCAGCTCCCTCGCCTGGTGCGAACATGACCTTCTTCTTCCGACCCTTTCCAATGCCCTTGCCCTTGCGCTTAGGGGGAGGGGGCCGTCGCTTTGGTGGTGTCATCACAGCCGCTGAGCCAGCCTCTGCAACAACAACGCCCTCGGCATTGACAATCCCGACACCCTCAACGACAGTTCCAGGCGCAGGCGCCTCTGGCTTCACAGGCACCTCGCTCTGCGCGGCAATCGCCTGTACGTCGCCGGTAATCTCTCCTTCAATACGATGACCCTCAGGTACCCAAGCCTCGTATATCGAGATATTACCAGTCTCAGGGTCTGTCTTCTTGAATTTTGTCCTGCGCATCGGCGCTCCAGCATCACCAGCAGCAGCGCCATACAAGGAAGGAAGACCAGGCCGTCTCTTCGCCAAAAACTCGACCTCCGCAGGCTCCAAGTGCTTAGGAAGCGTCAGCCACTTGCGAGTTGTGAAGCTTCGATCGGCGGCATGGGCATTGGCTGAATTCGGGTCCTCTGCGTCAGCCACGCTCTTCTCTTCCTCATCGGTCGCGCGACTACTTTGACGAATATGGACACATCCAGCACGGGCTGCTCGAAGAAGGGCGCGACTGATTGGGGGTAAGAGCTGGCTGTCTCTTGGCATGGGGAGCTCTGGTAGAGTTGGTCCTCCGCCTGGGCCCTGGACGCCAAAATCCGAATCTTCGAGCTTAGGAGCTTGGGAGAAGGTGTGCGGTTGTTTCGACCAGCGTCGTACTGGCAATCCTTCAAAGACATCGTGGTCGATTTGGCCGTTTCGGGTGCGGTTGGGGCCGTCGAGATGCCGCCCTGAGCGCGAAGCTCGGAACTATGAGGTATTAGCTAGCTGGTTCTCTGAATCAAATATTCTTTGCATCTGCAATGCTCATGTGTCCTTGTTGGAGTGGTTGCGCTAGAGAGGACCGATGGTGGTCAACGTACCGTAGAAGGCATTATGTGTCAACGCCGCTGCGGTCGGCTTCCCCTAGATTGACAGACCAGTGGGAAGTGTATAAGCCACAAATATGTTGGTCAGTTAGTTGGCGGAGCTGTCGCGTGGGATAGTATGAGGGAGTAGGTGATAGGCAGTGTCTCCCCGTCGCGCGATGGCGCCGAAAGGAGATACCACGTGATTTATAGGTACAGTATTAAGGAAACCAGCAACGAAGACACTCTAGTCCAGAATACTATAATTGACCATATATATAGCCAGAAAATGCCACTATCTTTGAATGTAAACGTCAATAGCAGCCAGCTACTCGTACAAATGTTTCCAGGCTATGGTGGCAACACTATATAATTCCCTGATAAGGACATTTGCTGCACAAAGACAATGAACAAACTATTTGACCTACTGCAGGTCAATAATCATTCATATTTTGGCAAGATCCACCCATAGGAAAGCAATTGAACGTAGTCCAGAGTGGAGTGGTGATGTATTTCTCGTGCTCGATGGGAATTGATTGCACAGCAGCGCTGGGTGTATAAATACAGAAAAGGATCAGGTGTCCGATGATTCACTATTGGTACTTCAAAAAGAGATGGGATAGTTACAGGCCTCCTTCAACGAATGGTGAGCACATTTAATCCCAGCTGCAAAGGTCAGTCGATGCAAGGTGGATGTACTGTAATAGACTCAAAGCAACTTACCCAGTGTCCTTCTGGCGCACAATGCCTCCATGGTCGCCTGTTTCCTTGCCCTGTGGAAATGAGTGAGACGGATTGCCCCTACGATGTTCTCAATATCGAGGTCAACTTACGGCGTTCTGGCCCTCCACCACCAGCTTGTCCAGCTGATAGAATTGACTGATGATCGTTTGGCGCTGTGATATTGTCAGCTCCATGAATCATTAATGTAATAAAGTATATGGCAGTGTAGCAAGGCGCGACGATTTGACCCTCAGTGCGGGGAATTGAAACCCATCTGTCTGCCACTGACCGAGTCGGGCATTAACATCCCCTGGAGTTCCACTGACCTTGAGCAAGCGCAGGCTCTGAAGACCCTCTTGCATCAGTTCTTGTACCCGACGTTCCTCCGTCACGTTTTGGTGCTCGCGGAACGAATCTCTTGTCTTGCGACGGGCATATTCACGGAAGTTATAGTTGGAAAATTGGCCGGATTGACGCAGAAGGGAGCGGAACTAAGCAAAGGAAAGATGATTAGCCTTCTATTATCAAGCATAGATGCGCTCGCAGTTGGAGTGCGGATATCAGAATCAAGGACATACCAAAGACCGGACCTGGAAACCAGCATCACGGTGCAGCGATGCGACGGACATGATGATTAAGTGTACCGAGAGTACGGAGAGAGTGGAGAGGAAGTAAAAAGGTCGTTAAATGTAATGACCTGAAAGATGCGCGGAATGCTGGCTTCAGTTTGATCCCAGATTCTCACTGTCGTGTGGCTCGCTATGTCGATACGGCGGTACGGAAGCAGCAAAAATGCCACAGAGGTTCGGTAGGAGATGAAGATACGTGTAATGCTCGTCGAGAAATACCGAGGTGGTGAGGTTCACGGGGGTTGGGCGCAACTGTCGTGATCGGAGGTGGCGGTTCGGATTTGCAGGAGCGCGAAGATCCGGGGAAACAATATCAACCCACACAAGGTTGTCACAATTGATATGTTGCAACACAGTCTCTTATAACTAAGAAAGCACAGTGGGCTGAAGTGAGTCCAGAGTTGGTTGAAGGGCGGGAAATTCTTTTGCGTCGGAGAGAATGACGGAGTTACCGGGGCCGAGCTCCTTTGATCCACGTTTCCCGTATCTCGGGCTTTCCTCTGATCACCACGCCGCTCGACTGTAACTTGCATTGTCTGTCTTGTTCAGTCTGTATTGTTGTCGCGATGACTCAAATACCTACACCACCGGATTCCCGACCAGGCTCGGAGGCTCCTGAAGCAAAGACGAAGCCCGTAGCCTCGGATCTGGTTCAATCGTTGGATACGCTTCTTGAGCAATATTTGAACCTACTGGACAAGCAGCAGAAACTGCAAACAGGCCTAGCAAAACAGTTGTCCTCGGTATGCTTCTTGGCCATGGTTTACGCGACAGTTGGCTGATATACAGTAGGGATTCTTCGCCCTCGCCCAGGCCAATTTCTCGTGTCCTCCTGGCCGCCGCTATGGGCCTGACTTCTACGACGAGCGCATGAAAGCGACAAGGAAGATGTAATGCTACAGACTCCATTGCATATTATCAGTTATTGACTCGTTGGAATCGACAGCTCAATCAAACCCGAACAAAACATTGCGGACGAATGCACCAACGATTCGGAGAACAAGAGTGCTGCTTCGCTACCCTCTGAATACAAGTTCGCTACCGAGTCCACACCCAGTCCTCCACCGAAAGCAGATATAGATGAGAAGAAAGTTGAGACCTCCGACCCCGTGAAGGGTGTCCAACCCGAAACAGGAGAGACTGTAGCGGACAAACAAACAACACCAGAAACTCCCGAGACTTCCGAGGACGGCAGTCCAACGACCGAGAAGAAGAAGCCGAAGGCCAGCCGCAAGAAGTTCCATTCTGATGATCCACTCCATTGGTATGGAATCCTAGTGCCCCAGTCACTGCGCCGGGCACAGCGCTCTTTCGCAAATGCGATTGACACCGAGGTCCCTGAATTGGCTAGTACGACAATTGAAATGCGGACGCTGGAGGAGCAAATAACGAAGCTGCGGGCCCAGCTGGTACCTGAAGTTTTAGGGGAACGTCATGATCTTGTTCAACGTGGTACCAAATGATCAGCTGAAGCAGAGTTGACGTTAACCGTCACACAGGCCTGTTCCCAAACTGGGCTATTATTTTATCTTACTAGATGTGACCGAATGCATAGTAAAAGCAATCAAAAATTAGAGAGCCAGAAGTGCTCCACCGAAAGACATGTATGCGAACGGTGGATGCCCTCGGTTTCAAGCCCCATTCACGGTTTATATGCCCAATTGTGGTATATGGGGCGATTGATGGAATATTTATAGGGTAGACATAGTGAATGTTCCTGATCTAACACACTAGACATACTCAGATAGTAAGTAGATCCGTCCCGCCAAGCCCAGACCATCGCTAACAATGAACAAAATCCCCGAGCCGCTGGAGCCGATTACACTTCTCCAATCTTCTGGAGCTGTTATATTCCAACGCTGTTTACACCACTTCTCGTTATCTAAGTTAACGTTACAGTATACACCTTGACCATACGTCAGATTCTGATTGTTTACTCAAGTTTCAGGTTGCCCGCTTTGGCCCAGGGGGAGCCCACTCTTAATATGAGACGTAGCGTCCAGGACTAACTCCTGGAACTGACCCCACTGGCGCAACATCCTCGAGATCTGACAGTGTGATTCGTGCATTTGGCCCCATCATTGTCGGCTGATTCGCCTAGAGTCTCATGTTTAGCTCTCCATTTTCCTGAATTTACGGTCCATCAACTGTCGGATGCTTGCTTCTCTGCAAATTCGACTGGTCGTGAGAGCCGACCAGTCGGTCAGCACTGCGTTTATGCAGGATTCTGCTCTGTGATATGGGTATTGATGTGGCTGTTATATTACACGGAGCATGTCTTTAAACATTAGTTGCACCAGCCTCCACCTCGGTTGCAAAACCTTTCCCGTTTAATCTATTCTGGCCCGGGGTCTTAGATAGTGCCGGAGTGTGTCAGGGCCCCCGTCAGGAGATGCCCCCCTCGTTTCTTTTCTTTGGAGGCTCGTTTCTTTTGACTGTGTCTTGTTCTCCCTTTCTCGGGGTAATGGAACGCCAGTTTGCCTTTTGAACGCGGTTTGATACTAGCGATTCAGTTCTCTCGTTTTTATTGGTATGCAGTGGTAAGCCTTGAAAAACACTGGGATAGGTTGATCTGACCTTATTCAACAGAGGCATTGAATGTCCCTTCCTTTCTTTAGCGATTCAAGCTTGATCCTGTGGTTATCAAGTCTTTGGTCGATCATCCTATCCGCATTCTATTAGACACTTGCTTCAAGCTGTCGCCGTTCCTCTCTTTCGCTATTCAAAGCCTCTTTTTCTCTCATTCTTCACTCGATCAGGGTATCGAGCCATTTATCATTCCTTTTCAGTTCTTAATCAGGGGATGAAAACATTCTTTCTACTGAGCCGCAGTTCCAAGTTGCTTGATGTACTGCAAGCCCTAACCTCTCGTCAACAACAACAACAACACACGAGATCCTGCTCAACACTTAACCCAAGACTTGGCATATCAACAAAGTAACCAAATGAGTGCACCAACTTACGGACCGGGTCCTCGTCCGTCCGGGGATCTCGACAGGAAAGGGTCAGTCAAGCACGCCAGACAGTTGCTTGAGGCTGGCGTGCGTCCAGAACGAGCATCGCCATCCAACCAGATGAGACAGTCACCTCTGCCTAGAGACATTTCTCACCGGACACAATGGCCTCTGCCTGACTCAGGCTTACCGCCAAATCCAATCAACCACCATCCAAGGTATTTGCTCCCGCAAGGACCTCCTCCACAAAGACCGCCACATCCAAGTGAGATGCCTTCGCGCCAGAGCCAAATTCCCTCACCGTCAATCTATTCAGAACGGGATGGCCAGGACTCAGAAGCAAGCTCAAACATTACATCACGGCCTCCCCGATCATTTTCACAGCTGCAGCGGCCTCCGCCGTTGCAACCTCGGCGGCCCTTGAAGGCCGAGCCCCCCGTTAGTCCCACTAGTACAGTCGACATGACTCCTCGCATCTCGATTGCCACCGATGACTTGTTCAGACAATCGACCGCCTCCTCGACGGCTTCAATTCCAGATGTGCCACCATTCCCTCCTCCAATCCCACCGCTTGAACCCCATGTTTCCCAAGATCCTTTCCAACGGACAGCAGGTCTGGTCGCACCTCCAAATGCTCGACGACCCCCTCGAGCTCAATCGTCCGTGGCTCCCATTCCGGAGGATATTCCCGATCCCCGTTTCACCAAGGGCTCTTTCGCATCCAGCCGAGCGATCCCGTCTAGTTGGGGCTCTGGCCCTCCGGAATCAGAGATCCTGGGTGCATACCTTGACATAGAATCAGACGATGACGAGCCTCACCCAAGTCCCAAAGAGGAAAATGCAACCCTTGTCCGAAGTGCTAGTCTTGGAAAGCGTGGGAAGCCAACAATGCGCACGATCCTCAAGTCCAATCCTGCGTCTGTTGTTTCTATTCCAGACGCACCACCCACCCCAAACGAGCACTCAAACAAGGCTGCAGTTGTAGGCGCAGCCGCTGGTGTGGGAGCGGGAGCTGCCGCCAACCAAATGCTCTATCCACCAAGCAATCTACGAAAGGCGTCTACATCTACCGCATCGAGTGACTCTTTGAACGGCATTGACCCGGAAAAACCACCCTTTACCCAGCGCGAACAACACAATTCTTCCTACAGTGCTGCTCTACAGAAGGAGATTGAGGTCTTCGGTGGGGATCTGCCTAGAGCTGCACCTACTATGAGCGATAAGAGACCCGGAGGTCGCAAGCCTCCTGCTCTGAACATGGGTGCGTTGCGGGACGCAGAGGCTCGTGGAAGTCTTTCAAGCTTGTCTGATTTGATTCGTCGTGCTACGAAGCTTGCGTCGAACTTGGACCATGGGAGGACTGCCAGCCGGGCTGACTTGGCTGCAGGTGGTGAGGCAGGATTTAAGTCTGCGATGGGTGAGTTTACAATCCTGTCTCTGTGTATGGATATACAATCCGAGAATATTAACGTATGTCTAGGAAATGGTGAAAAGCGCCGCCGCAACTCTGGCTCCCTGTCAGATATGCTCGCGTCCTTCCCTCCACCAGGCCTACAGACTCCCGAAGGCCGTGGATCCTGGCCTATCTTCTTCGGCCGCTCAAACCTGCGTAACGTCGAGCAACTCAATTCCAACGACGACGAGCCAAACGCCCCCAACCGCAAGAAGACCTGCTGCGGAATGTCCCGCAAGGTCTTCGTGATTCTCTGCATCATCATCTTCATCATCGTCATCCTTGCAGTTCTTCTGCCAGTCTTCCTTATCGCCGTCCCTCGCGAAAAGGCGAACAAAGACGCAGCCTGTGCAAACAGAAACCCCTGCAAGAATGGAGGCATTAGTGTCTCGAGTGGCAGCGAATGCTCATGCGTCTGCTCGAATGGCTATACCGGCTCGCAATGCACCGTTGAGAATGACGGTAGCTGTACCACTCACGCCATCCTGAGCGGCGCTTCGACCAAGAATGCAACCATGGGCAGTTCACTCGCGAATTTGTTCGATGAGTCTAAGAAGAAGTTCGATATCACTCTCGACGCCTACACTATCATGGCCCTTTTCAGCATGAACAATATATCATGCAAGACGGAGAATGCGCTAGTTGCTTTCAGTGATGTTCAGACTACCAACAGTACCAGCAACAGCAACAGCCGTCGTTCTCTCGACATGCTAGCAGACTCAATCCCATCCGAAAAGAACCACGCTTCTTCTTCTATCGTGACTTCCGGCCCAACACCCGTCCTCGCATCTCGCGCCGAAGCTACTGTCAACGGTATCTTGTACGACGACGCAGCAACAAGCAAGTCAGCCACCAAACCAGACCATGCACCCGATTCCACGGCCACCGGTACAGCCACCAAGATCAATTTCCAGCCCTCTTCAACCGCCGAGGTGTCTGCTGCCGCATCTACTGCGACTGCGACGGCTGTTCCTTCAGAAGTGGTTGAGTTCTCCCAGGTTGCTGTGCTGTACATTCTGCAGAAGACTGGGTCGCTTCATTCGGCTATGGCCTCTGGGGATCATATCCAGGGATACCTAATTGATTCTTATACGAATGCCACCCATCCTTCGATGAAGGAGGGTGCGTTTACTCTGGACTTTAAGAATTTGACCATCACACTCCCTAACAGTACGGTGACGGCGCAGTGAGAGATGAGGAAGAGGTGGAAAAGTTTGTACATAGGTAGTGAGTAATTGATGTAATATAGTGGTATTGTATGTTATCATTGATTGTAATATGTACTTCTGTACTTCTGTGTACTTCAGTAGATGAGCTGTTCCATGTAGAGATTGCGGCATTTAGGGTTTTAGGTAGAATGCCAAGACGATCCTTACCTGATTGGGACGGGTCAATGTCGTGATTGACAGTGGAGGTTGCGTGCTGCAGCACGTGACCTTGAAGAATGGCGTAAGGCTGGGCTGAGACATTTCTTGTTCGCTCGATGTATAAACTTGTATAGAGACTTTGGGTGACCTGGGATGGAATTGATGCTTTACAGCACACATTATGATGAGGAACACTATCCAGTGGGCCAAGAATATGCCGCCCCCTGAAAATCCAGAAGATCCCCGCCATTTACGAGTACGTACACCATTCCGCCTCGGAGACATCGGAGATATGGAAACCTGTGGTACAGTTAGGAGCAAAGTAGAGCTAGAGGGGATGAAGGGACCACGTGTAGATAGAAAATAGAGGAAGTGAAACCATAGAAATGGATCTTAGTCCCCTGGAACGAACAGTGGAAAAATGAAACCTGCAATTCAAGGAAATGGAAGTTGATAGACACCTGGTTACTTGTTCTGGATGGCGGAATCGGCCAAGCCAAGCCCCCCCATGCTCCACTGTTGACGACTGATGCCATGTCGTGGCCCCTCCGTGAGAATTTCATAAAGTCACTGGCTCTCCCCTTCCTTTCTTTCCACTCCCTTCTGTACATTATCTTCCATTTTCAGGGAGACTTTCAAAAAGTTCTTTTTTATCCTTTCTTACACAATGGCCAACACTCCCCACGGTGGTGTCCTGAAGGATCTCCTCGCCCGCGATGCTCCCCGCCAGGCTGAGCTCGCCACTGAGGCCGAGACCCTGCCCGCTGTTGTGCTTTCCGAGCGCCAGCTGTGTGATCTCGAGCTGATCATGAACGGAGGTTTCTCTCCTCTCGAGGGTAAGTTCAATTGATTATTTGGAACCGCTTGGTGGTGTGGCGGGATTGGATCTGTAATTTTTTTTGGGAGGGGCAATCGCTAACGCCGATCTTCATGCAGGTTTCATGAACCAGGCCGATTATGACGGGTATGTATTATGAGCCATTGGAATGAGACCGGTCATTCTGCACAAAGATTGCATAATGCTGATGATGTGCATATAGCGTCTGTGAGGACAACCGCCTTGCCGATGGCAACGTCTTCTCCATGCCCATCACCCTCGATGCCAGCCAGAAGGTTATCAGCGAGAACAAGCTCCAGGCTGGTTCCCGTATTACCCTGCGTGACTTCCGTGACGACCGCAACTTGGCCATCCTGACCATTGACGACATCTACCGCCCCGACAAGTGAGTTTCGGACCTTTTTGCTTTTCGAGTCTCGGGACTGCATTGGCGATCGTTAGATGCATCCCTGGAACACACCCAGTGCTTTTGCTTTTTCCATATTGAGAGACCAAAAGCATTCGTGGCGTTTTGGTGTCGCAATCCTCGAGCGTTACGCATGTATAAGCCCATTGAGGCTTGTGCTTTTAGTGGGGCTCGCTGACGTGGAATTTCCCCCTGATTAGGGCCAGAGAGGCTAAGCTCGTCTTCGGCGGTGACCCCGAGCACCCTGCCATCAAGTACCTGAACGAGACCGTTGAGGAGTTCTACATTGGTGGAAAGGTCGAGGCTGTCAACAAGCTGAACCACTACGACTATGTCGCTCTCCGCTGTATGTTGGAATTCCGATTGTGACTGGGATTTGGACTAATATAACCTCAGACACTCCCGCGGAGCTGCGCGTCCACTTCGACAAGCTGGGCTGGTCCCGTGTCGTCGCTTTCCAGACCCGTAACCCCATGCACCGTGCTCACCGTGAGCTTACCGTCCGCGCGGCCCGCTCTCGCCAGGCTAACGTCCTGATCCACCCCGTCGTCGGTCTCACCAAGCCCGGTGACATTGACCACTTCACCCGTGTCCGCGCCTACGAGGCTCTCCTCCCCCGTTACCCGAACGGCATGGCCGTTCTGGGTCTGCTCGGTCTGGCTATGCGTATGGGTGGTCCCCGTGAGGCCATCTGGCACGCCATCATCCGTAAGAACCATGGTGCCACCCACTTCATTGTCGGCCGTGACCACGCCGGTCCTGGTTCCAACTCCAAGGGTGAGGACTTCTACGGTCCTTACGATGCCCAGCACGCCGTCGAGAAGTACAAGGACGAGCTCGGCATTGAGGTCGTCGAGTTCCAGATGGTTACATACCTCCCCGACACCGACGAGTACCGTCCCGTTGACCAGGTCCCCGCTGGCGTCAAGACCCTCAACATCTCCGGTACCGAGCTCCGTCGCCGTCTGCGCTCCGGCGCTCACATCCCCGAGTGGTTCTCTTACCCCGAGGTTGTCAAGATCCTGCGCGAGTCCAACCCCCCTCGTGCCGCCCAGGGTTTCACCATCTTCCTTACCGGTCTGTTGAACTCCGGCAAGGACGCCATTGCTCGTGCCCTCCAGGTTACCCTGAACCAGCAGGGTGGCCGCTCTGTGTCCCTGCTGCTGGGTGACACCGTCCGCCACGAGCTCTCCTCCGAGCTTGGCTTCACCCGCGAGGACCGTCACACCAACATCCAGCGCATTGCCTTCGTCGCCACCGAGCTCACCCGCGCCGGTGCCGCCGTCATCGCTGCCCCCATCGCTCCCCACGAAGTCTCCCGCAAGTACGCCCGTGACGCCGTCTCCCAGGCTGGTTCCTTCTTCCTGGTTCACGTCGCTACTCCCCTCGAGCACTGCGAGAAGACCGACAAGCGTGGTATCTACGCCGCCGCTCGCCGTGGCGAGATCAAGGGCTTCACTGGTGTCGATGACCCCTATGAGACTCCCGAGAAGGCTGACCTCGTCGTCGACTTCTCCAAGCAGAGCGTGCGTAGCATCGTCCACGAGATCATTCTCATTCTCGAGAGCCAGGGCTTCCTGGAGCGTCAGTAAACTATTTTCTGATTGGATGGAATTTACTGGAGTAGTTTTTGGTCTCTTGTGCATAGAAATGTGTACTGGTTTTTGGTAGTGGGCTTTATTTGGATTCCCCTGGCTTAGATACTTTGCCAATAGACGTTTGATTTCGGTTTATCGAAGATTTCTTGATTCACACTTTGCTCCAATCGTAGACACTCATCTCGTGTGAAATCCTTGGAAAGTGGCATTGGATTCTCGCCGGTCACTTTAAGGTCGGCAGGTGCAGGTCACGTGCCAAGCAAACAAGACAAACGAGCATATCGGATCCCCAGGTCGTCGAGGCTTCACTACTGCTTTTCAACAATCCAACAATGTTGCCACCTCGCAGCGCTATTGGGCGTATACAGAGCCATATCCGGCCGGTGCTACCACCTCGGACCCCTGGCCCAAACGTCCACCTTCGGCCGTTCACTCAACGCACACGCCTACAACTTCTTTCTCCGGCGCAAGGTCGACCCCAACTACCCTTCCTATCACCGCTTGCGCCAGCCCGACCACTCCCACCTCTATCAATCCACCTTCGTCAACATTTCGGCCGTCTGATCTCAACCGAAAGTCGTGAACACTATAAGCGCCGATTATCGCGCGGTATCAAGGTTGGCTTGTCGTTCTACGCCATTCTCGTCCTTTTCTCCGTCGTCAAGCTCGGCGTTTACCAAGAAGATATTGAACATTCGTGGCCCACGCCGCCGGAATGGTCTTGGAAAAGTCGCTGGTGTTTGCGCTCTGCGCAGGCACAGCAGAACCCTGAACAGATTGGTCAGCTTATGACCAATTGGCCTATGGTTGCTGGATATTTGCGTGAGTTGCTGGAGCGTCTGGAAGATCCTGAGATTGAAGGCAAGGGCATTATCGAGCAGGACGAGGGCGGATTCTTGGTTGAAGGTGTTGGCCGGACTGGGCTTGATGTTTCGGCGAAGAGTGAGCCTTGGCGTCGTGGATATTTCCAGGCGCTCATGGGCGCTGCTAAAGCTGCTGAGAATTTGGATGGATGGTTGACGGATCGCAAGCAGCGTATCTCTGCCCCCGCAGAGTATGTTGTTGGGCCGTCCAACCCTAGGCCGAAGCCTATGCCTGTTGGTCAGAAGAAGGTGCCGCATGAGGAGGACTGCGAGCAGGCTTCTCCGTCTCCGGAGAGTTTCTATATGAAGGTCTTGACGACTAGGGGCTTTGATACAAGGCAGAAACTCGACGCTGCTTTGGCATATGCCGATTGGCTTGATTTCAAGGGTCTCGGCCAGACAGCAGGTGACATGTACACCTGGGCCTTGGACATTGCCGCTGGTGGACTGGAAGGAGACGTCAGCAAGGTTGTGGACATGAAAAACGGAGTTCTGAAGAACAGCAAGGGTGGGGATTTACCATCAGAGAACCTCCTCCGTGTCTCTACAGCTCTTGCAGTCCACAACGCCCGCCAAGGCAACCTCCCAATAGCTCTCTCCCTTTTCACATCAGTCCTTCAAGCCCGCCGCAACCTCCCCATCTCAGAAGACTTCAGCCTCCCCTCCTTCCCATCCCCTCACAAAAATACCAACGACATCTTCACCTCCCTCTTCAAATCAATCAAAAACGTCCTCGTCCCCGTTACCTACCCCGAACCTCTCCCATCAGGCGATAAGCCCCCACAGCGCACAAGCGCTTCTGCCTGCGAAGAAGCAGGTCTAATGACTTACATCGGCGAGATCCTCTACGCCTCCTCAAACAAAGAATTAGGCCTCGCCTGGACTCGGGATGCTGTCGATATGGCCGAGTCCACGATGCTTGACCTTGGAAACTCCGGCAACCGCGATGCCCGCACTCGCTGTGCGCAGTGTGTCAAGGTTGGTCTGGAGAACTGGAAAACTATGGTCTCTTCCCTAGTTGCTCGTTCCCGGAAGGAAGAGCAGGAGAGCAGAGAGCAGGCCAAGAGTGCTTGGTTTGGTGGTGAGCGTCGTGCTCAGGCTAAGACTCTTGATCGCAGACGCTGGGAGGCTGAGGATGCTATTCTTGAGGATCGCATTCGCAGACTCTTCCCGCTCTTGGAGGGTGAGTCTGGGCTGGATACTCTTGCTCCCAATAGTTCCTTGTTCGTTTAATTATTGGGACTGTATACCTGCACATAGGTTTGTGAGGGTCTGGTGTGGAGTTGGAGTTCTTATCTGCTGGTGCTTTCTTTTCTCAAGGCGCTTGCGTTGAGTTTCATGTGTATATACTTTCTACCTAGGCAGTCCTCCAATTGTATAACAGAATGGCGTTTATTGCCCGACATAACTCTCTACTTATACCATTATCTCAGAATGACGATGCAAGCAAGCCCCGATCCCAACGCATCGAACTGATAAGAATCTCCCATAACGTAGACATACATACCTTCGACAGTAACAGTTAGTCCAAATGCCTATATTAAAACGATGATCAAGTCTCAGCCTTGGCATGTCCCAGCAGTTACTGTATACAAGTAAGCTCTGGGGTGGAAGCCCGATATACGTGGAGCGAACAGAAACAAGGCCACGAATTAGATTTCATCACTGATAGCCCATCAACCCATAAAAGACGCCAGATTAGCCTGGATATCAAAGCCACACATACTGCACACCCTGCTGAACTCCACAACCGTCGATCTTCGACGCTGCTGGCCTGGAATTCTTCCTTCCTTTGGAATGATGGATATACGTCAGCATGGAATGTCGGTAGGGTTTGATCTTTTTTCAAGGAATTGAGTGCCATTCACATGTATATAGTCGGATGCCAAGCTGATGGCGTTCGTTATGTTGAGGACATTCGGCGTGGTTCAGTTCAGTCCAACTGGTAGCTCGTTGATATTCATTGATCTTGATACCGGAACCCGAGACGAACGTGCTTAGATCTTCGATATTGTAGACCCAAAGATCACAAGATCGTGTTGATCAGCGATCTGCTCTCACTAACCGTGGGTCATTTGGAGTTACCGTGAGTATAAGACAAACTTGCTAGACTGCATCACAAACTAACATCGATCAGTAGCAAATCTCAAAATGGACGACACACTACCTTTAACTAACAAACCCCGCAAATCCCGGCTACGAGACTTCCTAATGGAAGATATCCGCGAGGACCTCCTCCTCGAATGCGAACTACTACTCCTCTCCTTCGCAACGGGCATCCAAGACGCAGCTGCCTGGCCCGACTACACCTGCTTCGCCTCCAACCAAACAGGAAACACACTCTTCCTCGCAATTGGCGTAGCAGGCCTGACCAACAATGCATACAGTTTCCCCAATATCGGGGTAAGTCTGAGCCACTTCGTGGCAGGCGGTTTCGTTATGGGTCAACTAGGGAATTATATCGGTGTGCGGCGACGACTATGGCTCCTTATCAGTAATTTTATTCAAACCGCTCTTGTCTTCACGGCTGTCGCTATACAGTATTGTTTTCCCATTCGCCGTGACGGTCCCGCTGCTATGGCTGTTATTGCTTGTTTGGCTTTCTCGTCTGGTGGGCAGGTTGCTATGAGTCGGTCGTTGAAGATAACGGAAATTACTACTGCTATGGCGACAGCTGCGTTCATTGATGTGGTTGTTGATCCGTGTTTGGGCAAGTTGAAGAATCGGCTGAGGAATCGAAGGGTTATGTTTCTGATTATGTTGACCGCTGGCTGTTTTGTTGGTGCTTTTGCGAAGCGTGAGGTTAGTTCGACTTTTCCTATTCTCCTTTGCGCCATTGGGAAGGGGCTGGTTAGCGTGGCCTTTTTGTTTAATCGGCCTATGGCTGAGAGGGACTTAGAGAGGCTGAAGGAATAGTATATACCCCCTGTTCGGACATTTTCAGCTGTATATATTTGGGAATATCGGTCTTGCTGAGGTCTTCTATCATGAATTATCGGTACCATTCTAGCTTGGATCACTGTATCACATACAATAACATGAATAATGACGTGTAGTGATCCAAGTGAGTCAAAAAAGAGTATAGAACCGCCTCAGGCAGCAAGCGCCAAGCCCGGCTGATCGACCGATGTGGGGGCTTCCGCCGTACCTCATATTCCAACTTCTTGGGCTTTGTGTTGATTTCTACTTCATTAATACTCACTTTCTTTTCTCTACCTTCTCTTCCACAACTATCTCTGCTCATGTTTGTCACTGGGCCTGTTTCTTTTCATCGGGTTCCCTGACCTTTCGCTTCTTACCTTGGTTGGTCTTCGCCTGTCACATTTCAATCAAGAACTCTCAGGTCCGCGCATTTGACCCTTCGTCATCATGCCACGAAAAGACTTCTTGAGGGATTTCGAGGTGGCTGCCATCCCTGGCACCTTCTCCAGCATAACAGATGTTAAGGCTGGGGAATATGAAGGATCGGTCTCCTTTATGTTCAAATTACCTGGGACAAACCTTGAGCTTGAGTTCCAGGTCATATTATCCGGTTGGTTATGTTATGTGCATTTATTTTTCAAAACATCTTACTGACCCAGTTACAGATTCTCATGATTACCCAAAAGATCACAGCTACCTGATCTTTTCGACGTCTGAAGATTGTCCCAAGGCTGTCACCTCAGCCGTTGAGAACTGTGTCTCTTTCTTCACAGGCTCAACGATCCATGATATGCTGGGTAGCATTGAGAATGTCATTACCGATACCATCGTTGACCCCAATGACACATCCAGTCTGCTAGATGATGGATTGGGTTTCAGCGACGAGGACCTGGTCTCTGAATATGGTGACTCAGACTGGGAAGCTCAAGAAGCCGCCGACTTTCTTCCCGTGGGAATTGAAAATGAGCAGGTAATACGAGAGAAGATCCGCCGGGACTTGCTTGCGGCCAAGAATGCGGGATTCAAGGTGGGACACCTGGGCTCACTACAAGGGGATATCATCGTTTCTGTCTCCTGTCGCATTGCCAAACTGAGAATTTCCGAGGAGGCTATGGATGCATGGAACGTCCGTCCCTCGGAGTACCTGGTATTGCTGATTCGTTATCGGCCAACCTACCTTGATCTCGAAACAATCTTCGAGGCGGCGCG